AGAAGGTTGGATCGCAATGATTAATAAGTTTGGATTGCATGAAAATGATTGGTTATCTGGACTATACGAGAACAGAAAGCGTTAGGTTCCTTGCTTTCTGAAAACCACTTTTTGGGCAGGGATGTCAACAACGCAAAGAAGTGAGAGTATGAATGTGTTCTTTGACGGATATGTACACTCAAAGACTTCATTGAAACAGTTTGTAGAACAATATGAGCGAGCACTAAGGAATAAGGTTGAAAAGGAATTTCAAGCTGATTTCAAATCATATTCACAAATGCTACCATGCGTAAGTATGTTTGAAATGGAGAAACAATTTCAATCTGTTTATACCATCTCAAAATTCAAGGAGGTTCAGGAGGAGTTTATAGGGAAGATGTATTGTGACCTCATATCTACTTCAGAAAATAGTTTTGGGACAATGTACGAGGTCTGCGAAGTTGTGGCATGCGGCGAGCGAATGAAGAAAAAAACATTTTTTGTGTCATTTCAAAAGGAGAATTGTCAATTCATTTGCAGCTGTCACTTGTTCGAGTTTAGGGGTATAATTTGTAGGCATGCGATATCGGTGTTGATCCGTAATTGCATCACATCAATACCGGAGAGGTACATACTGAGACGATGGAGAAGAGATGTTAGTAGAGCACACGCGAGGGTGGCTGTGAACTACGCTGGGTTGGTTAGTACACCTAGTCAGTTGAGATATGATAGTATGTGTCAGTCTTTTGCTGGGTTGGCAGATCTTGCTGCTGATGATGACGGGCAGACTCGCGCCATAATGGACTGGATAGAATCGTAGTGTACAGTTCTTACGTTGACACGGACGAGTACAAGCACTAATGTCCTCGCACACCATATGATACAATTAGGCCCCTAGTGTAATGTATCGCAGAATACCTTGAGCGGGAGCGTACGGGACCCTCTCGTGTCGAGAAGAAAGGGTGCACCAAAGAAACTTCGAAGTAAAAGCCCGTTGGAGTCGAGTTCGAAGAAAGTAAAGGTAGTTTAAAATATTATAATTCATATTCTACCAGATTGTTGCAACAATTCCTCATACGCTCGCTTTGATATGCAGGCAACATCGACATCGAGCAAAGGAAAGAGACCAAATTCGAGTCAGAGTGCTACTCCAGTTGGTACACAAGAACTTCAGGCGTCCCAACATTAGCATGAAAAATTCAGAAAGAAAATCTTTTGCCTCTTAAGTTTTATCAATTGAGGAAAAATTTTATGCATGTCCATAGTGGACTATTTGGTTTTGGCCAGGTAGAATAATATGCAGAACCAAAACTTGCTATTTCGTGCCTGTAGAAATAAGAATTGGTTTGATAAGAAACTTGCGTGATTTTAAGTGAACAAATCTCAAGACCTGTGTTTTGCTTACATTTTGTATAGCTGTACATTTGTGTTGAACGTGTTAGTTAATGATCTGAGCAATAGATGCATGGACTGTCCTGCGCATTTTGAAAACGCCTAAATAGAAAGAGGCAGAAACTGAAAGATCAAAAATTCTCAGGATTATATGCATTGCAACCTGCAAGCTGAAATTTTACACCAAACTATCTATAAACATTTCAAAACTTCTCAATGATTTGCCGCCCCGACTAGTGTTTGTATCGCTGCCTCCGAAAGAGAATTTTATTTTCAAAAGTCTTTGAATAGGTACATCTGTTCGTTTTGACATTTACTTCCAACATATATGTTCTTCATTTCAAGGGACACACCCAATATAGAAGACGAACTTAAAAAAGAATACAATTGATTGTAAATTATATTTTTTATTTTTATTTACAAAACCACATCCTCGAACAACAATAAAACAGAAAAAAATGGAAAAAAAGTGTGTAAGTGTCTCCGTGACACACTGTCACGGAGAGTGTGGGGCAGTGTGTCACGGAGACACTTTCTCCGTGACACAGAAAGTGTCTCCGTGACACACTGAGAAAGTGTCTCCGTGACACACTGCCCCACACTCTGCCAAATTTGTCCCGTTTTTCAAACAATTTCTACTGTTCATTGATGTGTCCATTATTAATTTTTTATTACCTGTTCAACAAAGTGTGTAAGTGTCTCCGTGACACACTGTCACGGAGAGTGTGGGGCAGTGTGTCACGGAGACACTTTCTCCGTGACACACTGCCCCACACTCTGCCAAATTTGTCCCGTTTTTCAAACAATTTCTACTGTTCTTTGATGTGTCCATTATTAATTTTTTATTACCTGTTCAACATCTGTGCAAAGGAATCTGTTCGAATAGCATTATTGATTTTCATTTTCCCAAAATGGCATAACTACCATTTTTCCTTGTATATAAAGGATCTAGGCCTCGTTTGGCCCCCCATTAAATTTCATTTCATTTTTTCATCTCCTATTTTCAATCACACAATTTTTCATAAAATACTATTACATGTAAATTGAAAATTTTTCATTCTTTTTCAACCATTCATTTTCTAAAAAAAAAAAAATAATACTATTTCACCAATTTTCATTTAAAAAAATGGGGGCCAAACAGGTGATTAGGATAGGACACTGCTGCAAATTTTCCCTTAAAATATTTCTTTTCGGAAAATTTCTCAAAAACAAAACCTACGAAAATCCCAAACGCAATCGTGGCGAATAGAGGTCCACTTTATCGCCTTCATTCCCACAAATTCTTCTGTTAAAAATATCATCACTCCCTCGATTTATGTTCCTAGATTCCCCCAAAGATTTTTCGCCAATTTCTCTATTAATTCATTACTCACATGTAATTCTTTTCTTTACATCAAATGAATATTTCTTTGATTTTCACAATTCTCTGCTTATGGAAGGCGAAGATAAAAGTACCCATAAGGTGCTTCGGCTGATCCTGAATCTCTTTCGCATTGATTTCTTGAACCCTTTTTTGCACTTGCCCTTTGTTATTTTTAATATTCTGAGAGTAGAGGGTTGTTTGTGTTTTTCAATGATTTTTTGGTATAATTATTTTTTCCCCTAATTTTCCGTGTGTGACTGAAGATGATTTTTAGTGCACTGTGTGGAATTGATCTGCCGGGGTTTTCGTTTTGTACTGACTTGTTGGCTTAGAGAAAGCTGGGGAAGTAAAAAAGTCGCAGTTTGAATAGTTTTATCTATAGCAATGAAGACCCAATGTTTCATCCAATTTATCCTTGAAATTGTTCTTGAGTTCGTGCTATTCATCCTTTTTTGAAGATTGAGTTGTTATCACCATTTTGAGCTAGTAGAAAACAAAATATATCTTTTGGATCTAGGAAGAACTTAATAATATTAGTATGAAAGAGGCACGGAAATTTGAATTGCAAAGTTCAAATAATGGTTATTCGGACAGAGTTGGGTGTTCATTGTTGATAAGTTGCATCTTGGAGGAAGTATGATGATTTATTTTTTTTCCTTTTATGAATGATATAAGAAAAAAATCTTCTGCATAAAAGCACGAGAACGGGTCAATTCTCTTGTTTAAAATTGGAACTAGTGCCTTCACCTCTCTCTGGGTTCAAGAACTATTTCACACCTGGTTTTTTTAGTAGTGGTAACTTCTTAGTATCTAGCTTCTGATTCTACTAGAATTGCAAAAGCAAAACTTTAGTGGTTCTTGTCTAAAAGGGATTTGTGGTGTTTTCATTTCTGCATGACCATGGGAATTACATCACTGGGCTTTTGTGCACAAGTGTTTATTAAAAGTTCAAGAACTCATGCTCATCTAAATCACACTTCAAGTTCCAGGGAGAATATGTACAATACCCTGTGCTTTTAATGCTATAAATCACCGTTATTGATTTTTTATATCAAATGATGGTCTATTTTGAAGAATTTAGAGGCTTCGATCTAGTGATAGTTATGAAGTATCATCTTAATTATCATATAATATTGGGTTTTTGGGTCTTTTTTGTGTTTTGTTTCTTTACCATAAGTCCTATTACTATCTTGAATAAAGATGAGAGAAAAAGATGAATTTTGAGAAAATGGGAATCAAACAAGGCCTAATTTTATTAAAGTACTTCTAGTCAAAAGAGATTTTTGAGGAAGTTGGTCTAATGTAACTTTCTCTAAAAGTAATTTTGAAATTGGAAGTTTTTTTAAAAATTAGTTTCCAAACAAAATAAATGTAGCTTCTTCCAAAAGCTCTTCTACAGGGAGAAAAAGCAAAAGTCAGGCTATACGGGTCGTAAATGTTGAACCCCCACTATTGTTTATTTAATTTTATTTTATAAATTTACAATGGCTAACCATAAACTATTTTATTGATTAAGGATTATTACAAGGTTTTAGAAGTTGAGTATGATGCAACTGATGAAAAGATTCGATTGAACTACAGAAAGCTTGCTCTGGTTAGTAATATATATCATCTAAAGCAGCTTTTCTATGGCTTTTACAATTGGTACTTAGATACCCCACCCCCACCTTTGGACAGGAACCTGTTACAGGTTTGTATTCACATCATTTATTTTCCTGTCTGCATGCAGAAGTGGCATCCTGACAAACACGGGGGTGATAGTGCTGTTACTGAAAAATTTCAAGAGATCAATGAAGCTTACAAAGGTGATTGTTTATGATAGGTTCATCTCCTATTTATCTGAAATGTGGTTCTGGTCTATCAACACTTTGGCAAGTTACTGATAGTTGTGCTTGTGTGAATTGGAACTAAACACTTGTGACAAACTATCGCGTTTCAATTTATCCATTATGGCATTATATGTTACGGGGTTGTTTGAGCCCCATTTTAAGAATAGTGTTATGATGGAGAATGTGTGGTTAACAAATAAGAAAAAGTTTTGGGTTTGCATGTAATATTATTTTATTGAAAAATGTGCAATTAAAATGATGTTAAATCACTATTGAAGAATGTATTTTGATGAAAAATTGGGCTCAAACAAGGCTATATATGAATTTGGGTTCGATGTGCTTTGTATTTATTGTTTCTTGGAATTATGTTACATAAATAACTTATTATGAATGCATGACAAAATCAAACTAGAAACAAAGCCTAAATTTTTTGGAATACACGTTACTGCTATAGTCATCTAAGACTCCTCTGGTCTTTAAATTTTGAAGGGGAAAAAGGAAAATGGAAGTAAGAAGTATTGCCATGTTCTTTAACTTTTAGATGGTAATAATTTCGCATTGGTTTTCAATTTGCGTAAATAAGTTTAACCAAAAACATACTACTCTGGTGGCAGAATTCCTTCTCATTTGTGAATGCAAAATCAAGGCCTTTGAAATTTCAGTCCTAGCAGAGATTAATAATCACTCTTTTGTGGGCACTAGCATCAGCAGCGTTCAATACGTAAAACGCTGAGATCTTCACTGTTAAGAATGTACAGTGTAACTTTTCTTCCATGTGACATTTACAGTATTAAGTGATCCAGACAAAAGACTGGACTATGATTTGAATGGCAACTATGAGATTGACAAGTATACTTTGCGGGTAAGGATTTTTCGTAATGTTATATTTCAGCCCTTTTTATGCATCTCTAGCCCTTGCTTAATGATAATTTAAATTGTTCCTTTGCTGATACAGGAATATTTATCGAGATTTAAGGGGATGATACTTACCTGTAATGGGCTTGGTATTAGTCACACATCAATTTGGTAAGACAGGTGACTGCATAACTAAAGCAAGAATTGATTGGTTAAAAAAAATTTCAAGTTGAGAATACTCCCTTGTATAATTGCAATTTATCATTGTTTGCAATGTTCTAAGGCTTTCGTTGCATAGTTCTTCGCATCAAAGCTTTCTGCATTTTGTTACTATATCTAAAGCAAGTGATTCTTAATATCAGCAAGCAGCAGGTATAAGCATTTTTGCCAATATAAGCCTTATTTCCTAGAAAGACAACTGATTCTGAGAGGAAATCCAACCCGTGTATGAATTTGTTTGTTAAGGGGTTTTTGTTCCCAAAATTTTGCATTCATCATATTTTTCTGGCCACAAAAAACTCGGAGGCCAGAAGTCAGGAAAAGGAAAAAGAAATTAACTTGAACAAGCAAACAATGTATTGGGTTGTATAGACATATTAGAGCATTGGATAATGCATGCGGTGTGCTACCCATTTTTTCAAGAAATATGCATTAAGTAGGAGGCTTGAGAAGGGGTGCTAGTACCCTGGAGGAGTCTGTAGGACGTGCTTGCCTCAAGAGTGTTAATTCGTGAAATTTCTGATAATAATAATGTAAGAATAAGTACACTAAAATGGATTTAAAAAATTTTCTTGATCATAAAGATTCCATCATGCAATTCTGGAACACTATAATACACCCATCTTTAACTTTGTATTATTGGAATCATTTTTACATTTGAACCTTTCATGATTGTTGCCGCTAAAATTGATGGCACCAGTAATCCAGTATACTTCTGTTAATATGAAATTTTTTTAGTCTATATTTTATCCCCATGATTCAGTTGAAATTTTATGTCTTCTGTACTGTACCTAATGCAGAATAAAAATTGTGTCCCTTAGCCAGTGTTTGTCTGCCTGATCTTACCATATTCTAAAGTTACATTATTCTTTTATTCTATCTATGTTTAACAGTATTGCTGTTTACATAGCACTCTGTAGGCTGTTTTGGACTTGGGGGGAGCATTCCTTGAATGAATTTAGAATACACTGGACCACTTTGTAATGACTTTTGCTTTCCATTTCATAGTTGCTTATAATTTCCTTTACCGTTGCAGGTCGCAGCCACTCATGGAACACAATAAGTATAAAGAAAAACATGGTTCAGAATGACGGCATTTTATTTGTTGACCGTTCACCACAATAAGTTTCCTAGTTATCATTCTCAGATATTTGTATGATCTGTATATCATTTTTTGTTATACGCAAAAATATTAGAGTACACTTGATGGATAGCCTCTTGTGCATTGCAAATCCTTCTGGTACTAATATGCTACGGTCTGATGTATATTCCGTTGTTTTCTAATAGAGATACTTAGGATTGGCAGTGTCCTTGCACCTGTCTCCATATTGTTGGTTGGTTACCATTTTTTTTCAGCACAGTGGTATTTTATCTATTTATAAGCCAAAAGTTTCATCGTTGGCCACAGAAGTTACTGTAAGTGTCGTAAGATAGAAGAAATTACTGTCTTCGTAGTTTTTGGATGTAATGTAGTGTTGCATAGTATATTTATAAATCCCTTTGCATAGTTTTTGGATATAATGTAGTGTCAATATGAGAAACTTGTACGTGCTTCAGCATAGTAGTTATCTTTAGCCATATTAATGGAAGAAATATCTGATTACCGGATATTGGCGTTTTGGGTAGTTGCAATGCCTCTTCGAACTTCAATTCTTTGATTATCTTGAAATGCTTATTGTAAGATCTGAGTATGCAGATAATGCAAAGGATTGTTGAGTTGCTTCTATCTCGTAATCTTAAGCTTGTTTGTATTCTCGTTAAATAAATTTGAGTGAGTTATGGATAGAATTCGTTGAAGATAAAATTTGAACTTAGTCATGTGTCACGTAGATGAATTTGTTTGTAAAATACATTGGCGATGCTTTTATATCACTGGAACAAAATATAATTGATTTTATAAAATTTAATTTGCTTTATTTGTGTTGACACATAAAAATTCAGTCCAAATCGAACGGTCTAAGGAGTGAAGTCCAATTGGAGTATCCTCAAATCAGAGAGCCCAAAGAACGAAGCTCAATCAAACAAATCAAGATGAAGGCCCAAATAGGGAGGCCCAAGAACGTGGTAACGCCATCGTTCAAGTTTGCAAGTCGCCCAAAATCTGAGCGAATGGAGTGTTATACAGTCGCCCAGAGCTGTTACTCTATTCTCGCCCAAACCTTCAAGTTGCCCAAGGTCTTAACAAACATAAAGCGTTGTGATTATCAAGAAGTGCAGTTATCAAAGCAGTTGTTAAAGCAGCCCTATCACGTTCCACGATTCAAGGAATTCAATCGAAAGCGGTTGAACGACGAAGAGTAATGGCAGCAGTTAAATAAGATAGTTTTCATGACAAGTTGGCCATTACGAGGAAAGTGGGCAGTTATAGGACGATCAAGCAGTTTTTAGGCGGTTGATCACAAAGAGATCGTCTATGAAGTATAAAAGAGAGAAAAGACATAGAACAAAGGACCGAATCAAAAACTCTCGAACAGAGAACATGTAATTTTAATTTCCTTAGTTTTAGACTTAAACACTTTTTTTAGTAACTCGTGTACTTGCGCCCCTTGGAAGCACTTTGTTTTTGATTTCCAATTGTAAAGTCATCGCCAATAAAAGAACACCCCTTTTTGGGAATTTGTTTCAAGAGGTTTGTCCCTTACACAATCGTCTGATCACTTTTAATTGTTAGCGACTAACCCGCGCGAAACAATTTGGCACGCCTGGTGGGACAGTGGTATTTGATGTTGAAAGTACAAAAGGTGAAACAATATGCCTCAGACATCCGATGAGGAAGCAGCAAGTCAAGGAGGGGTTTATGCTTGGCGCACACAAAACGTATTTACAAAGCCAAACTAGAAGAAAGGCAACTCGCTCAGTATGGGAAGACTCAGCGCTCGAATGATTGTGAAGGGTTTGCAGGCTTGAATAAGATTCAGTGTAGTTTTTACCAAACTTTGGAGCGCCACCAAAAACCAAGAAACCAAAAAAAATGGTATCGCCTAAAGGTGGTAGATTCACCAGGGCCCCAACATCCCTTAAAGTAATAGACATGGGGCCAAGAGGGAAAATAAAGGTATTATACTCGGAAGACCAAAAACTCAAAGCAATCGAAAAGAGTGCTGAATCAAAAGTAGGGGGGCGAATAGAGATTTCTAGCAAATCAGAAATCCTAGCGCTATCAAAAAGTGCCTTAGTAGGGCCATGACCCACAAGACGAGCACGCCACCTACGTAAAGCTACATCAGATTTAGGCCAAGTGCGAATACCTCTTTCGCGAAGTGGCTCCAGCGGTAGAGAGTTTAGGAATGGAGGGCCTTGAGTGCAAGGAAACAGCTGACCCACCGCCGCCTGTTCAACTGCCTCCGCATTGTTGAAGAAAGGACCCAAGTAGAACTCATTACGTTCGACATCGGCGGGCGCGAGAAAACTCGGAGTTATGTATGGACGACTCAGAAGCTTCTGAAAGTCATCAAAACTAAAGGAGTCGTCAGCTTGAGATTGTGAAGTAGCCATTTGAGAAGGAACGAAGTTTTTCAGGGTTACGTAGCAGGGAAGCAAAAGATGAACAGTAAATCGTGAGAGAGACGCAAAAATTTGAGGCGTGATTTAATGGTGCAGTGAAATGGCGTGTTTGGGGGTTATAAAGGTTTGCAAAACGACACAGCTTTTCAAGTTATAGAAGAAAACAATGATTGAAATTCTGGTATCTTGGTTTTTGGTGGCTCCCCAAAGTTTGGTAAAAACTACACTGAATCTTATTCAAACCTGCAAACCCTTCACAATCATTCGAGCGCTGAGCCTTCCCATACTGAGCGAGTTGCCTTTCTTCTAGTTTGGCTTTGTAAATACGTTTTGTGTGTGCCAAGCATAAAGCCCTCCCTGAGTTATTTACCTATAGCGCACGAATTGGCGCGTCGCAGGCCTTTGAATCTATGTTCTTTCTTTTTGGCTCTCCTTTATAGAGGCATGGCTTCTCTTCAAGCTCAATTGAAGAAAGGTGCATCTCCCACTGGCAGTGGACCTCTCTGGTTCACTCAACTGTGGTTGAGATCCTATTTTCCACTGTTTGGTGCTCCATCAATCTCTCGCCCCTCTGCTAGCTGTTATGGGCTAGCTATGGAGCCTTTGGCTCCTGTAAATATGTCCAGAAGGGACATTTTTTCATTCTTTTATTCTTTGGATTCAATCTCTTCCTTTTTTTCTTTTCCTCATTTTTTGACTCCAAACTATGTACATCCCCCCTCCACTATAGACAGTGCGAGCACCTCCCTACTTATTTGGATCCAGTTTTTAACCGGGAGGGAGCTTTTTCATAATATTTTAACTGGGACCAATGCCAAGGCGGGGGTAGAAATTTATGCTCCCCAATTTTTTGCTCGCCAACTTGGTTTCGACCAAACTTGGCCTGTTCCTTCTTGCTATTCAAGGAACTTAATTGACCGTTTTCATACTATTAATAAGGCGGAGGCAGAGGTTATAAATGCTCGCAATCTTCTTTTAACCAGCCATTTTTCATTAGCCCCCTTCAATTCTAGCCACGCCATTCACCCCCTTTTTGAACAGCTCTGGTCGTCAGTGAAGCGCAGATTATTTGCGACCGACGCCAATCGTGCCTTTTATTCACTAGACCAGGCGAGCATTTCTTCCCCTCCTCTTGTTTTAGTCACTCCTTTATCCGTTCGGAGTCCTCCTTCTCGTCGCACTAAACATTCTGCTCGTCCATCTTCTTCTCTCCTTACCAAGCCTACTACAGCCAAGAGTGCCCCAAGTCGCAAACGGCCAGCCTCAGCATCTCCTATTCTGGAGGATGATGTTGATGATGATGATGATGATGATGATGCCCCTCTTATCGTCAGGAGGAAGGTAATTAAATTGGTTTACTCACAAGCATACTTTTCCATACTTGAAACTTTTCTATGTGCTGATGATCTTTTGGACTTCTCAGAAAAGCTTAGCCTCTTCTTCAAAGGCTTTGGCATCGACAGCTTCTGCTCCATCATCCTCCGCTGAGGCTGCTTCATCCAAACCGGTTGATGAGGGGGCTATGCTTAAAGAGACATATTCAGTCCCAGAGTCCTCATCACAACTCATGGATGAACCAACTTCTTCCCAGGGCGACAACCCCCCAAACATCGAAGCAGAAGGTAATTCAATCTTTTGATGTCTTACCTTTGCTTGTGCTGTTGGTTTCTGATTTGTTGCTCTTGAGTTTTGCAGATACTTCTATGAGTCCGCCAGTTGTGATAACATCTTCTCGCTCAGACAAGGGGAAGTCCTCGCGAATGGAGGAATCGTTGGTGGCAGACTTGGCTGAGGACATGCCATCTTCCACGATTGTTGATGAGGTAATCTTTGCTCCACTTTTATTTCTATCTTGTTCATTGTAGTGAGAATCTTTAATATTGGCAATTTTCTTTGCAGGATGCTGAAAAAATTGTGCGTTCAATCCAAGACTTGTTCGCCTTCTGGGGGCAAGTCCAGACGTCTCACCCTGCTCCATCTGATCGTCCTGC